CGGCCCCAAAGGTGGCTGCCCCTCGGCCAGCCTTGAGAACACGCTGCGCTTGCTCAGATTGGCAAGCTATCCCTGACCAAGAGCATGCGAGGGAAAACTCACCTCCCACGGGCAATTTCCATGAAAACTGAGGATCAGGCACATACCGGCACGCCGAGCTGTTCGTTTTCCACGGCTGCCCCTCTTTGCTCTGGCTCCACGCTCGCCCCGGGCGCTCCAGCTGCTCTGGCAGGCAGGGTATTTTTATTTCCACCTGTATTTTGATCACCCCGGTTCCCAGCAGAGCAGCACACGCCACATGCCTTGCCCTCCTGCACGCCTCCGACAACCTCCTGCAACAGGACCCGCAGGATCGTGCCCACGCCCCACGCCACCCCCAGGAGCCCCCCTCGGGACCTGTCTGCACCACAGGGGTTAAAATAAACTCTTCTTAAGTTGCAATAAAAATAAACCTACGGTGGAGAACGGCAGGCTGTCATCCTCCCAAGTTATCAGCAGGGAGGCGGGGCAGAGGTCCCCCTGCCTGTATCGCACGCACAGGCTCCGGGTTCCCCTGACCGGGCTAGCACGGGGCAAGGAGCATTTCTTCCTAATAAAGCAAAAGGGTTTCCCTTCAAAGGATTTGCCTCTTCTAATCTTTCCACGCGAACTGGTTGCCAACTGGTGTCAGCTGCTTAACACGTTTGTAGAGCCGGTGCTGGATGCTTTGCACATGCTGTTCCCACCTCGCAGTGCCGGGAAGGCAAAGCCCCATCGCCCCCCGCGCCTGCTGCCGGTCCCCAGCGCCCACCCAAGGCACAGTGCTGGGCGACCTGGATTAAGCCCATCATCTCTGGTGTGTCTTTTTTCTGTTTTTAACGCCAGCACATTCGGGGACCCCGCAGGTAATCGCCCTGAAGTTGCTCCAGTCTCTGCTGGAGACGGTTCGGAGGGAGCAAGCGGCAGGAGGGCATGGAAGCAGCAAAGCTTCGCTCCACTTTCACTGTTTATGAACTACAGAAGAGAAATAAAATCACAAGTCCCAGAGCCCGTAAGAGGAATTATGTTACCAAACGCAGGGAAATTCACAGTTCAACCACAATGCAATAACGATTAAACGTGCAGCTCAGGAAACCTCCCCCACATCATCGTGGCTCTTATACAAACCTTCGCATTAACCCCATCCCCACTGCTTACACCCACCACGACCAGCAGTGCTCAGAGACGACGGGACTTCACTACACTGGGGATCATTTCTGCTCTGCCCATGCGCATGGAGCCACAGACAGTCCCTGCCTGAAGAGTTTTCAGCCCCAACAGACCAGGCAAAAGCCTCATCCTCACGTTTGTTTTGCCCGGGGAAAGCCGCAGAGGTGATGGGTCTGGAGAAGGACCTGCGCATCGGTGCCGCAGCATCCTGCCCGC